AACCCATCCTTGGTCCCCCAAACCCATCTCCACCACCCAAACCCCACCCCCAGACCCCACAGAAGACACCCTCAGGGCTTTTTTGGGGTTAACATTTATTCCAGCCGAGCTGAGAGCGAGGGGTTGGGGTGGGGAAGCGACGCTGCCGCCCCCCTCCCTCCCTGGTTAATATTAACACCTGGAAAATGGGCAAAAAAGCTTCAACTGCTCCCCCCCCAAGCCAGATTAGGAATTTTTTGGGGGGGTTAAGGGGGTTAAAGAGGGTCTGGGGGAGCAAGTGATGCTCCACCACCCCATCACTGTTTCGGGGGGGGTCCCTGAAGACCCCCATGTTTGGGGGGGGGGGAGTGTTCACTGCTCACCGCAGAGTTGGGGGCTCAGCACCAGCTTAGGCAGCTGAAATTTCGGGGTCCCCGAACCCCCAAACCCCCCCAAATTGAAGGGTGGGCTGACTTCCATCATCACCGGACGCTTGTTGAATTCGGGGGCCCCGGTGGAGAGCTCAACCGTGGGTAACTGCATCTTCCCCGCCTTGGGTTGGGTGAGGGAGGGCTCCGGCGGGGACCCCCCGGGGGAGAAACCCACCCTGGGCACCCACCGCCATCTTGGGGCCTTGCCCTCCTCTTCCTCCTTGACGTGGGCATGGGGGTCCACCACCTGGTTGTCTTCTCCTTTCTCCTTTGGCTTCACCAACACCAACACCGCCTTCTTCACGCCGCCCATCCTCATCCTCCCCTCACTTTCCAACCTGCTCCCGGCAAAACCTGGGCCGAATTTTGGCAATTTGACCCGAGGCAGGCGGCCCTGCGCCGTAGCCTTCCTGCTGGTCTCCTCCAGCCCATCCATCCCTGGTGGTGCCAGCTCCAACGCCGGCACCTTCAACGCCGCTACGCTGGTGGCTTTTGGTATCTTCTGGCCTACCAGCTCCGGCTGCTTTCCCGGCACGGTGAAACCCACGGTGGGGACAGCGAACCAGGGGGCCTGCGCCCCCTCATCACCCCCCGCCCCCCGAGTTTTCAGCTTCCACTGGATCATACTGGGAGACTCCAGCCTCTTCCTCCCTGCCACGCCAACGCTCAAGCTCTCAGCGCTTCCCCCCTTTCTCATCACTTTGGAGTCCCCCCCCATGCGGAGATCGGGGCTGGATCCCCCAAATTTTGGCAACTTCACCCCCCTGCCCAGCTCCGGCCCGCCAGGGAGTTTCGGCAATGACGGTGTGCGTTGGCTACCGGTTGCCGGCAAGGCGATGCCCACCTGTGGGATCCGAAGCCGGGGGGTCCCGGGGGACCCCGGTTCCACCGACCTTCTCTGGTCGTCCCCCCCCAGCCCCCCAATTCCCAACCACGGCAGCTTTCTCCCTGCCTCGGCTTTTCCG